ATAAGAGTGTGAACATGAACTTCAAATAAGACTATACTATATATATATAGAAGCAGGATAATAGTGTGAACATGAACTTCAAATAAGATTAAAGACTATACTATATATATATAGAAGCAGGATAAGAGTGTGAACATGAACTTCAAATAAGATTAAAGAGTATATATAGTACCTGTAATTTATGCTAAAGGACCATCACGGGGAACTCTTGAACCCAGTGTAGTTCAGTATATATATATATATATATATCAAACTCGTTCCTAAATATTTATTAGAGCCGTTAGAAGCTGTTGTAAAACTAAAACATTTTCTAGACGATTAATGTCGAGATGTATTTAGAACCCTAAAAATACAGAAAACGTTTTTCGAAAAGTTGGTGAAATATTTTCGTAAATTTAAGTTCGTGTCAATATTTTATTATGCTTGATAATAAAAATACAAAATTACGGCACGTGACATGGCAATGATTTTCCAACCCCCCCCCCTTCCTCTCCTGGAACCTCGCACGCCATTGCAGACTAAGTACCCCTTGATGTAAAAGTAATCCCCCCCTTTCTCTCCCATCCTCACGGAGGGTGTGGCCAGACTAATGGACTTACGGTAAAAAGGTCCCATGCTGGTTACTATAGTAACTTCTAAACCGTCCTGCTTAAAGTAGTGATGTGTGTGTATACTATGTTCACAAGCTACGACTTGGGCGGGGTCCGTCCTCTCAGATGTACATGTTGTTATTCTCCAAGCTCACAACATTGAACCAAGTATTAAATACAGAAATACAATTGTTCTATCATCAAATAATGAAAATGACAACACATTTTAATCGGTGGATAAAAACCAAAGACAAAGCGATCAGCAATGGAAGTAACATAGAGACAGGTGCTCTAATTAATATTATACTCTATACCATCAATTTTCACATTGGTGTCGCGGCTTGAGTCCGTTCGTTCATCTTACAGGACTCTGGGAAACATTGTCTAACACACACACACAGTAAGTTTAAGAAGATATTGGTAATTTAACCGTATTTCTTAGAGATCATTAAATAAAGTATAAGTTTTACAAACTTAGCATACAAAGATTTTACAGTATTGTTTGTTTTGAAGTTAAGCACAAAGCTACATGATGGGCTATCTGTGCTTAGCCCACCACGGGTATCGAAACCTGGTTTCTAGAGTCCGCAAACATACTGAGAGGGGCAATTATTATTTTTTTTACAGTAACCCAAACTTTAGAATGCTAAGTATTTTTAGGTTCAAATAATACTTTCATTATCGGTCTGCGAATTGAAAGGGTCCACGGTTCGAGACCTGATGCACGCTCTACACTTTCGGGTCAATTCCGTTGTTCGGTTCAGAGATGTATGATCTATATATCACATATAATTTTAACACTACCTTCTTACTGCACTTACAAAACATTCAGTTAAAAAGTCGGGCAAATCTTGTGGCGGAGGGTGCTTCTGGCTAACTGCCTTCTCTCTGATGAGCAACTCAAAATTAGGGACGACTAGCTACACACGAATTATAGAGGTCTCCGACCTGGCTGTTTAGCTTATGCGCGCATAAGGTTCCTTTCTAGTTGAAAATCACAGTTCCAATTCTCACAGATAACTTGTTATTTGGTTGTTTTTTTTTAATACTCTCACCAGCTTCTGTCATGTTACTGTCTACTTGTGCCCATCGTAACTTAGGATTCAAGACACGTAGCAAACAACTTGTATATAAACTCGATACAAAAAACATTGTAGAAGTAATCCAATTATAATTCTGAACAGTAGATGACCTGTTTGTCTAAGCCTATTTTCAAATAACAATGATATACTTTAAGAAATTACTATTAATATTACATAAAATAAATGTCACGTTTTAAGATATATTCATTTGACCTGGGGTGTCGGTTTAGTTATGACAAACGAAACTAAAAACACTTTAACGATCGACCGTTTTTATAAATAGATTCTTTAATAATAAAAGTCTTGAAAAAGAGACCGTTTTAAAGCGAAAGAAGAAGAAGCTAGATGAGGGCTATTATGGCACTGGAAAACTACGCGATACAAACTGTTTAGTGAGACTACATTTTCGTTGTACATTTTTCTCTGTACTATGTTTTCTCACGTGAAATATTCTTCTTAACAACTACCAATTAGTTATACGTCTATACATTCCACTCCTTCAGTAGAAATTCAATTAATTAAAACAAGATCAACTAAAACCGTTTAGTTTTGTTTGTTTGTTTTGAATTTCGCTCAAAGCTACACGAGGGCTATCTGCCTAGCCGTCTCTAATTTAGCAGTGTAAGACTAGAGGGAAGGCAGCTAGTCATTACCACCCACCGCCAACTCTTGGGCTACTCTTTTACCAACGAATAGTGGGATTGACTGTAACATTATAATGCCACCCACGGCTGAAAAGGCGAGCATGTTTGGTGTGCATGTTTAATAAATTAACAAAATTCTGTACACGATTAAATATTACTTTCTTTACTATTTAAATAAAGTAAGATCTGAATTAGAATTAGTTTTATTTTATCTACCAGATTAGATGATTGAGTACTTTCCTATTATTCATAAAACTTTTACGTCAGTGCATTTTACACGTTTCCATTTTTATACACACACCTATCATCACAAAATGTAGGTCTTACGTAATTAATGAAATCAAAGATCAACACTTCTTAAAATCAATACACAAAATAACGTGCTGGGAAACACAATAACGATGGTTTTTTTTATTAAGCAACACATGTTGAACATTTGTAAATGCAGTATCTGAAGAAGACTGATGATATAATCTGGTCACTGCAGCACAAATAAAAAAAGAATGACGATGAATACATTGTTAATGTTTTCTGTACTGGGCACAGATACTAAAATTCTATATGCCAATGATTTTTTGTTATCTGTATTTGGTAAAACAAAACAAAACACAGCAGTAATTCAAGCCACAAAACCATGTCATTAAATGGGCTAAAGAGAATAAATCACAACCTACCTGAACATTTACTACACGTTTTCAGAAGTTATTAATTATTTTTTAATCTTAACTTTCTATGGCTATTTCTAACCCTTTACCATTAGCTCTCGTTTACCACAATCCCTACCAATTTTTAAAACTTAAGCTACTAAAGTCTAGAATTCTTCATACTGGGTACCACTAACATCGATGTCATATAGGAAACTCTGGGTTAACCAAAGAAATGAATTTGCATCTTTCAAGTCATAAGTACAATTTATGATAATGCCTGTAATTTACTGTATTATCTTCTAATACGAAATTTATGATAAATATGCAAAACCAAAAGTGAAATTGGGAACAAGACAATCCTTTGTAGGTGTAAAATGAAGGTGACGTACTGATAACATCGAGTGTGAGAAAAATTTACAAAAATCAAGGAAATACGGGCAACTGATTTTAACTTTTAATGAGATGAGCTCCGCCTGTCGTGATGTTCAACATCACCATCGCCACGATCTCGGTCATTGCTGCCATTCTGACTAACTACTGGAGAGTTGCTGGCACTGCGGCTTCTACTTCTAGAATGGCTCTTGTCTCTGTTATTCCAATCGTTTTCATCTTTCTCCTCGTCTCCATTATTTACCTGAAAGACACAATTTTCTTCTATAGTACTTCAACATGCATTTAGTTTTACTTATCACAAAAAACTGTCTTGAGCAACTGCTAAAATATACAACAAAAATTTCAAAACCAATAGGTATCATATAAAAAAACTAACTACTTGAATTTGTACACCAATGCATGTTAATTGTTAGAGATATAAATGAAATACGACGTCTAACTTCAGAAAACATAATTGGTTTTATTTAAGCCAATGTTTCTGCATTATGAGACACTCATTAACCGATTTTTTTTTTGTCTAAGCCTAAATCAGTTAACAAGTGTCTTGATGAAACCCTAATGATGAAACAATGGCTTAAGTGAAACCAATCAGGTTTTCTGGAGTAGTAGTCACGTTTTCCTTTTTTTTAAACAATGAATACAACTCTTCACTTTGCACTACAAACTTTAAACTCTCATGTTGGTTATTTCAAAGAAACAAATTTACCCATTTATAACAGCTATTAAAGTAAAACATCCAAGTATTTTTCCTTTAGCCAATCAGAGAATTTGTAGTGATAGTACATTTTGTAAAAATTATTATCCCATAATAATTTTGTATTTTATCTGATCATTTTGTAATTAAAAATTTATAAATGATAATTTCAGTTTTTCTTAAATGACTCAGTACAAAGGCAGAAATTTACTGGATGGCTCTGAAAAATTACTTCAAGGTGGTGATAAATTTTTGGTGGCATCACGCAAAGTACAGAATATCAAACAATTTAAAAACGTAGTCCTGGTGCCTGTCATTATACAAAAACTTTACATCGAGTGTAGTTGTCATTTGACTTGCTGCTTTTCATATACAAAATCATTTTAATATAACATTCAATCTCTGCATAAGTTATCTACATTTATAAGCACAGCACACATCAATAAACTACGTTAAATGTAGCTAATACATTTTGTACCTTTATACTATAAATTAATTTACAAAAGTATAAACTAGAAATTCATGGCATACGAGCAAATATAAAATTCCCCATAAAACATTGTTATTTACAAACTACTAAAAAACCAACAAAAATCTCTTACGGAATTTTGATTATTGATATTTGGATTACTCTATTTACTACAAGGCAAGAAACTACAGGAAAATAACAAGACCTAGGTTAAGAACAGAAGGAAATATAACTTCTGTAGAATCCTGCAAGATTAATATTGTGGTACAATTTCCACCTCTAAGAGCACGTGGATATCATCCTTAACTTGTTTAAAGTTGAATAAAAATGTTTAAAAGCAACATTTTAGACCCACTAAAATCTTATTTTAGAAACAAAGACATTAAGTTATACTTGCATATTTCTTTTAAAATAACCACAAAAACTTAGTTAAGAAATAATTAAACTTCCAATTTCCATGGCTTACACATCTTTGTATTACCGAAGAAAGATGATTAGAACCTATCAAACGTACCCTCTTGTCCTCTTGTTCATTTTCTTCACTTGGGCTTCGGCTCTTTTCTTTAATATTTTCAGGTGATGGTGAATGACTTTTACTGGGAGAACGGCTTTTACTGCGATCATCACTTTTACTATTTTTTTGTTTTTCGCCATCTTGCTCCCTATGAAACAAACCAAATTTCTAAACTGAAGGCTCTATGAGAGAGCATTTTTAACCACAGTAGCAATTTTTTTTTATCTAATCAGAAAAGAAAAATCAAACCAACAATAAACACAAACTTGACAGAAAGTTATCCCCCCCAATTAAGCAATATAATATGTTTCTTTATAATTAAAAAAAAGGATGAGAGAAATTAAAATGTAAACTAAACTAAGAGTAATTTATAGTTTATTTGATTTTAAGTACTTACACATTGTATGAAAGTTTAAAATAGTCAATTATTAGATTACAAAGTTTATTAGCCTACAATTTTAAAACCGAGTAGTTTAATGTTGATTGTACAGGCACAAAAACAATAGCATAGTCAGTCAAAGGCAAAAGACTGTGCCAAATGAATTAAGGAAAAGGTCCATTGTCACAACAAATATCTGGATTATGGACTTTGTTGAGGCAACAAAATTTGAAATTAATATGGTGCTAGACAAAAATCACCAGTGTTAAATATAAGATAATATATTCAACCTCTCGACAATTCTCATAGGTCATTAATTACTACATTTACAAAACAATGTGTATTTAGATAAAAAGTAAAACAAAAAAACTTTATTCTGTGATTGCTGAAACTAATTTACTGTTTCTAAATAAACTTGAATACCATCACATTAACTAATGTTGCATAAAATGTTCTAGTATTAACAGTAGCACCTGAGTTATAAAAAACAAACACTTATTGAAGGAGGAGTGGGTGGGAAGAGACTAAGAAACCAGCTGTTAAGAGAAATTCTACGTGACCCTGAATTACTGTCCCTTAAATATACTTCTGCATTTATCAAATTCTGTTTAATAAGAACTGATAAAGCCTTGCATCTTATTCCCAAATACTGTGTTTGGCCGGAGTTAAAAACTCCACTAGCATATAACGAAAAACCAAATAAAAATTTACTGAACACATTATTTGAACTAGCCAATAAGACAAAAACATTTACATTCATATTTTTACTGGGACCATTCTTATATTGTTACGTGTATTAACAGTGCTGTATATCTCTTTGGTTTTCCCCACACAATTGTATTCCATTATTTTAAAATGTTTTCTCAGTTTACTGCCGCAATTTCACCTAATATCACACATTCTATTATGCAAGGTGGTTAGGCTTATATCACACATTCTATTATGCAAGGTGGTAGTTAGGCTTATATCACACATTCTATTATGCAAGGTGGTGGTTAGGCTTATATCATACATTCTATTATGCAAGGTGGTGGTTAGGCTTATATCACACATTCTGTTATGCAAGGTGGTGGTTAGGCTTATATCACACATTCTATTATGCAAGGTCGTTAAGGCTTATATCACGCATTCTATAATATTGTTACGTCTTAATTTTTATTTCTTTCTCTCTCTTTTTTATTAACGAATTTTAGACAATAAATGATGAAGTCAAGATATAAACACTATACATTTTTGAAATGTTTAAGCTGAAGATGGAATTAGGAAAATTTGAATTGTCCATGCTCTTTATCCTAAAACATGTCGAGATTTATTTTATGCTAACAACATCATTTTAAAAATAGTCATGTGACATCTGTTTGCTTGCAGATAGAGATACACACATTTCAAAGCCTGTTTCTGCTCGGTGTTGCCAAATCGTCGTATTTCCAATTTTAAAAGTAATATTTTTATAGAATGGTTTTTGAAAAACTTATATAAATGCAATGGCAAAGATTACTGCGATTAAAAATGGGGGAATTTGGGAGTAATGGGGGTTAGACTTTCCCAGGATTTCAAGTACCGAAAAGACTGTTCGCAAAATTCAACAATGTTTCACAATTTTAATGACCCGTGCAAACCCTATTTCACCTACCATTACAATGAGTAAATACTTTTAATTATTGTAAAGCTTCCTGATGCGTGTAGTATACAGCACTGGGAAAAAGAGAGTAAATTAGGCAGTAAAAAAATGTGGGAAAATTGACATATATTACCAAAGATATTTCAAACTGCTTCAGCCAAGCTACATTTCATTCCAAAACCAAATTAAATCAGTTTATTTAAGCTATTTGTAGTGTTAACTAATCAATGTTTGTAGTAACCACATACTGCTAAGGAAGTCGATGCTTACCTAGAATTAGATCTAGAGTTAGAAGGAGTTCGACTTCTTGTTCTACTGCGATATCTTTTACTGTTTTCTTGACTATGGCTGCGAGACCTACTCTTCCTACGACGAGATCGCCTGTCTTTACTCCTTGATCGACTACGACTGTAGCTTCTCTCCCTTAATGATAAAAAGTAAAATGCTCTTAATACCTAAATATCAAATATTTTTACATCAAAAGTTTAGACTAGAGTTGCATCAGTATATCACAGTAAGCAACGAGCTTAGCACCAACATAACGGAAAATTACTTAATCGGCTATTGGTTGTTTCTGTTGTTGCAGCTCACAATGTACACTAATATTTCCGCTTCTTGTCACATAGAATACTGTGATGTTCACTGCTTGAACTTTGCACTTATCACACAATAGCCATCTTTACACAACTCACCATGGCTAGCAGTTTTAATGTTGTTGTAATATTAAACTTGTTAAATTAGTATTGCGTTTCCTAAAATTATACACATTTTAGATGTTGATCTTAAGCAAGTCTTCAATAACAAGATTATTTTTTTTACAAGTACATCATTATTCAAAGTGAAATGGACTTCCAGCCGGACATGTGTCTACAAAACACATGCTGCCACAAGTCATCATGCTAGAAACTTAAAATTTATATTTTACATATGTGTATATTTAGAATTATGTAAAAAAATTACCGAACTCTTTGTGTACAAGAAGCTGAACGGAAATTTATTTACTTTATAAGTGGATCAAGAAAGAATAGTTTGTGTTTAATTTTGCTAAAACATTTTTATTTAACAGCATACTTGCATGAGTATACACAAAATACAAATCTAGACTAATATACAGTAGACCAAGGCAATTAAAATGCACGACTAACATACAAACAACATTTACTAAGTTACGGTGTGTGTAGTTTCAGTTTTCACCAAGTTTTGATGGTCCCTTATGGAAAAATTTAATTGATTTGTAAAAACTCAAAATTAGCGTTTCTAATTACTCTAACTATCCAAGTAATCAAAATATTGTCCTTAAAAATTTCTCATCATTAATTCAAAATTGTTCTGCTCAAATGATTAGCCACGACTCAGAAACATAGTCAACTAATCAAAATTGGTGTTTCCAATGATCACTACTTTCAATTATTCTCTCTATCCAAGCTTTGTGAGAATAATCAATCAGCCAATTCCACTAACCTCCCTGATCTATTATAGAAATATTTTTTTATTACATCATAAATAAAACCAATTACATCATAAATAAAGATTGCATAAAAGACGTATATATAAAAAAAAAAACACATTAAAGTATGATGGTATTCTAGCATGTTTTTAAAACAAAATATTGCAGACACCAAAAATCTAAGTCCACTTTCCTAACATTAAACACGGCCTATGTTCGATAAGGGATGAATTAACACCGTAACTTAAGTTTTTTGCTTTAGTTTAGTTGGGGCTAAACTTTACAGTATTTAATACTATCAATAAATAAACTTATAATGTTATTCTATAATCTCATGTTAGACCTTTATAAAAACTTTTATTATGATAATGTACAAAATATCTACTAAAGTATATTTACATCTGTTGAAATGAATTACAAATGCATGTAGGTAGTAAGGAGTGTACACACCTTCAAAACAGATACAAACTAAGTATTATTATAACGGAAAGAAAGTATTTTTAGGTGCTTTGATCCACTCACTTTATTTTACATAAAAGAATTAAAAACACGCACACAAATATATATATATATATGTAATTAAAAGTTCATGCACTCACCTCCTAGAACGAGACCTTGACCTAGATCTCGACCTACGTCTTCTAGGGTAGTACCGGTCACGTTCTAATTCGGGACAGTCACGAGCCCAGTGTCCAGAACGTCGACAGTGGTAACATTCATCATAAGTCTTTAAAGATAAAAAAAAAAAAGCTCATACCTATGCTACATCTAAGCACATTCAGTTTTCTGCTTTACTGATGATGAAACAATGAATTCTAATCATTATAAGTGATACAGTTTAGACAATATATTTAAGGGATTGTTTGATTTGAAAACTAAAGGCCATACATAGTTTGGTTTATAAACCTATTCTTTAACATTTAATTTGTTTCTCTAATATTTTTGTTTAACTTAAGAAAGGATTACTACAAAAAAAGCTTTGTAACAATCAAAAGGAAATGATTTTATAATATAGGTGAGTATTAAAATTTGGAAGGGCTTAGACTGTCAAGATATAATTCTTTTATTAAACCAGTGGGTGTCTATTTTATCTGCATAGTGCAGATTTACAAGTTGTAACTAGCAAAACATTACAGCCAATAGTGAATCCCCGTAAAACATGTCAGTGGGATCAGAATAATGTCCTAGCAGTAGCCAAAAGCAACCATAACATATGCAACCTTAAAAACTTATTTTTCAATGGCTTTTACAACTAATTTTTTGTATGTTACTGTAATGTAGACTGGGTTGATTTCACCACTACAAATACTTAAATATGCCATTTCTCATAGATAATCTGCTGTTGTAAAATCAGTTATTTTAAAACTAATCTTCTTGATATTATTCTCTAATTTCTAGTCAGCTGAGAAAATATCTATATATTTATCTTTTAAACAAAGTAAAACTATTCTACTTTGCTTCATACTAAAAGCACATTAAACTTATTTTGTGAATTTAATTCATTAATAAAGAAAATCATTAAGCCTTATTGAAAAGCATTACATTTAATAAATTTACTTGAGGCAGTTAGTACCTTTTCATTACTTAAAAACGTTCAAAAAGGGAGCACACACACCTATCAAAAATAAAATTAGTATCAAAACAAAATCAAACTGCAATGTGTATGAAATCTGAAGTATAACTTCAAATTTTAATTTTTTAAACATATTTTGGTATAGTTTAGCAGAGTACAGTTTATGTTGGATATAACTGTGCAAATACAAAGTTTAAACCTGCCTTAATTCTCTCTGAATCTGGTTAATATTTCTTAATTATATCTTATTATACCTAACTGTCAAGCACTAAAAATATCACACAAAAAGCTTAGCTTACCGAACGCGAGCGTCCTCCACCCGACTTCATCATGTGCATCTGAAATTGGTTTATATCATTAGCGATTTTGTTTGTTTTTCCATACACTTTTTTTTTTCTAATTATAATGAAACCACAAAATGAATCTTGTTTTTAATTCTTTAAGCAATTGAAAATTCATAATTATTAACTAACTCACAGTTTGTTTTAAATTAGAAAAAAAAAATCACTATTTCATTATATATAAACAAAAAAAGTAAAAAAAACTTCAGTATTACACACAGTAACAACCATCATGTCAAAACCATAAGCCTATTTTTAATTGATCTGAAACTTCCATTTAGAAATGGCACATTTGTTGTTAATTATTTTGGTTTTAAAAACACGTGTCCTCGAATCTGCGAATACAAGGTTTTGGACAGGCACTGGTTTGACGTAACAGAGATGATGTAATCTGCATACTACTATGCGCATCTTGAAAGTATTTAAACTGATTAAAGGAAAGCAAAATAACATTCGCAACTATTTCAGATCCAGTATCACCATTACATTGATATATGTTACTCATTTTAAAAACGGACTACAACCGTATAAAAGCACATGTTCATTTTCTAATTCTTTCACAACAGTTTGTTTACTGGGCCATTTCAGATTTTAGTAAGAAGTGAATAAAGATAATTAGTTATGATGCATTCTCTTTCCTAATCATCCTTGTGGTCTGCATGTACACAAAGGTTAATAGCCGTAGCACTCTTGCTGGATACGTGATGATTTGCAAGCACAGACTCCTTGGAAGGCTACATTACAATACTTTTCAACATAAGATTTCCTTTTCCACAATTACAAAAACACGTAAAGAGAGAAATTTTAACATTTAGAATGAAGAAATATTGTAGTATTGAACCAAATTATTAATGAAATATAACATTTTAGTAAGAAAAAAAAAGGCTACTCTACAACCAGCTAATCTGAAACAGTGAAGAAAGCTAAACAGCTTATTAGAAACGATCTAGGAACACAGATTTTTGTCTACAAAGTATTACAGTTTCCACAAAGTTTGGACTATTTATTATCACCTTGCCAGCAACACTTTTTGAAAATGCCCCATAAATATTTCCAAAAAACAAGATACCATTATGAACTCTGCCTACTAGCAGGCTAATATACAGACAATAGTGATTACTTTATTGTGAAGAAATACCATCTTTTTACCAACTGAATGCCAATAAGTTTGGTTTCAACAAGACAACGCATCCAACAACAAGTCTAACGCAATGTGTTAATTACTCCACAAAAAGCAAGCACAAAGGGGAACTCATGCTAAACCATTAACAGTCAGCTCTCAAGGACTTCTGTGCTTCTAGGTTGCTCATATAACCAATGGAAATTGTCATCTGTGTATGATTGATGGAGGACTTTGGAAAGCATGGAAAGAGGCCACACTAACTAAAATGTGTTGTGCAAATGCTTCCTGTCACAAATATTAGTAAACTTGAAACATTGTTAGAGAAATAGAAATATATTGCTTAAGAGATGCAATCTTTAACCCTTTCCATATGGGTTAGGGGTCAAAGCGAATGTAATCATGTTTTGTAGACTTGCAGTCAGAACTTTATTAAACTACAATTTTATGAATGTATGTTCAGAAATTTTGAATCAAATTGTACTTTATAATTCTAATTTTAGTATTATACATTATTTAATATCTTAGCTCAAAAGTGAATATATATAAAAAAATTGTTTGTCACATGGTACATCGTCTTCTGCTTTTGCTCAGATTGCATTGTGGGCATCATAAAATGTAAAGTTTACAGTTTAGAACAAATTCAAAACTCATATTACTATAATTGACAAAGCTGAAATATAAGAACACCTTATGTTTTCTATTTGCTTATATATATATATCATTATATTTAACACACACACCCCCACCACAGTGGCTCTGCCCACCTCTTCCTCTTTGAAACTACTTGTTTATACACAACTGCTTCTCTTAAACATGTTTATAACCAATCAAAAGTGCTCATTCTGAAATACATGATCCTCAGTCTTCCTAACGTACTTACGAGGGTTACAGCCGTTGAAAAGTGGTGATCAGAAATGAGAATGTTTAGACCCAAATACAGCTTAGTTAGAAAGCCTGATAAATGATGGTAGTAATTTATATTTTTTATTTTAAAATGCATACAAAGGTTTTTTTTTTCACATCCTCCACAAGCCTTAACAAATATGGCACAAGTACAGAAAAAAAAAAAACTCTCCAACATCTTAAGTAGAAGAGGTCATATTTTTCATTTACCATTCTAAGAAAAATTACTGAAATTTAAGAATTTCTTTGTAAATAGTAATAATATGTATACAAATCTAATGTATGGTAACCAACATGTCACTGTATTTTACAAAATACTGGTATGCTAGTACTAAAACTAAGAAGAATAAAGCATCTGTACTTTGTAAAGGCCAGTTTTAAGCTATTCAATACAGTAACATGAGCTGCACAATGTGCCATGTGATTTACAACTTCTGTGGCAGGATTACTTGTCAGACATAGTTCAAAGGTCAATAGAACAAAAATGAATAAATATAAATAGATGTATATTGTTACGAGATTTAAGCTATTTAAAATAAACATTTGTGGTTTCCTGTTACAGTCTGTAGTCATTATAGAACGAAAAAGGGTTATTTAGACTAATTTCCTAATTTTTTATTGTGGTTACAGGGGGGTAATCGGCCAACCTTGTACAGAGATAAGGTAGAGAAAATGACAGATAAAATACAAATTTCTTGTAAAAAACATGATTGATATTTATTTAGGAGATTACAGAGATTATGCAAATGGAATTTGACAATTTTCTGATGAAGAAAAGAATTAATCTTAAAATGAAAATTACTTTGTATGTCAGATAGTCAACATTCCTAAAGATAAATTCATGAGTAAATCTTTAATTAAAAACCTGCTATTTACAGATACTCAAGAGTTATAGTTTTACTATTCTCATATTTACTTTGGTGGTTGCATAGTATGAGCAATGAACCTAGCCTTGTAGTCAAAGAGTTAAAAAAATCAAGTAAATATTAGTAATTACCCTAAAATTCAAAGCTTATACGTAAGGCAGTATGAAAAGTATATGTGCAACTAGTTGAAATACATTTTACATTAAACTGATTGTGAAATAGGTTATCTGTTGATAAGAAGCTACGTTTCACTTAGCTGAAAATTCAATGTAAAAAGAATCTTAACAACGTTTAAGCTAGCGCTCATCAATAACAATATTAACAATGGTCACTAGTAAACCAAATTTGTATTTTATAATCCATAGTTGTCTTTGTTCTTTTGCACTTTCTTGTGTTCATGTTCGTAAACAAGAAGCAGCTTCACTTTCAACAAATGAAAGTTTTATGTAGATGTATTTGGTTTTAACAGCTTGTGCTTCGTATCCAGCATTCCTTTATATCAATACAGACATGTGATAAGGTTGAAAACATTTCAAGCTGGTTTAATTTTTTTTACATATGGGAATATTGGCTAAGTGAGTGAAAAATAAACAATTGTCTAATTACAACCACAACAACAACAAAATGTAGGGCTACACTACCAATCCAAATAAAAACAGAAAACAAAATAATGAAATAATTTTGAAAGAAATGGTAGAACAAGTTTTTCTTTAGATTTTAATGGCTTAAGCAACTCTGTCAATAAGCAATAGACATTCAAAAACTATGTATACTTATTGACTCTTTATTTTCTATTTACAGGTAAAAAAAATATATTACACGTTGCAATATAATAATGAAAGATCATGTTATTAAACACATGAAAACTATAGACCACAAGCAGATGACTGAGTCAATAATTACAAATGAAATTTCATAGCATTCTTGATTATCAGTTACTGGACAAACCAAAGTGTCAAAGATGAAACACCACATGTTCAAACTGGAGAAATGATAAAGTATGACTTCTTCAGGATGCAGAGATTATAGAACACTTAAATACTGCCAAAAAGTGCAACCTTACATCTACAGGTCAGTTGCAAAAATGTAAGTAGTCACCACCGAATAAATTCAACATATTAATGCGTCTTTGCAAACAGCTTAATGACTGATTATGTCCTCATAAATTTTCCTAGCTAAGTGTGTGTTCAGTGGCTGATGGAATTCCTAATATCACTGGGGCTAAAATGGTTTAAACTGATGCAAAGAGAAAATCCTAATTTAATAAATTTTCATGTATTTCACAAAGTTTCTTTTGCTAGTGAAGCAGCAGTTTAAAAAATTCTCACAATGACAAAGCAAATAACTTTATTCTTCTAATTTATGGATCATCAAAACAACAGAAAACTCTAAAAGCCATGTAACAGATACACCAGAAAGCTCTAAAAGCCATGTAACAGATACATCAGAAAGCTCTAAAAGCCATGTAACAGATACACTAGAAAGCTCTAAAAGCCATGTAACAGATACACCAAAAAAGCTCTAAAAGCCATGTAACAGATACATCAGAAACCTCAAGTGAAAGTTAAAGTATTCCAATAGTTGTAATGATCATGAAAATGTGTGCAAATGTTATTTAGTTGGAAAAAAAAAGAAGAAGAAGGGATCAATGTAGTGTCAGACAATGTTTTGTGCTAATCTTTATCACAAAGAGGAAACTACACAAACAAGCCTTATGCTTACCAAGCTTGCATATCCACTGGCAACACTTTTCCACAATAGTAAAGGCTTTAGTTAATACAAGCAGAGACTCAAAGTATTTGCAGTGAAATTAGTATCTTTATTGCCATAGTACTTCTTTAAATAAATACAGGATTTTTAGAATAATACAAAAGATTTCTCTAATTTTCACAGACACTGAAATCTATACGTCCACTTGTCTTATGCCTAACATTAGTTAAAACCTTTACGTATGCTATATATACCGATAAGAGATAAATTAACACAAACATATGCAAGTTTTTTTTTACCTTTGTTTAGTTATGGAGAAACTTTACTGTACTTAATACAAAAATACTTAATGTTATTCTACAACCCAAGATCAGACCTTTCTGAAAACTTTGAAAAGCTTTTAGTGTGTTGTTGTACAAAATGTCTACTAAAGTATATTTATATCCACCTATTGTTTACATTCATTGCAATGGAGTACGTATATGTACAATTAAATAGTAAGGTGTGTGTAAATCTTCAGGACAGAGGAAAAACTGGGGATTATTATTATAATAGATATTCATAACTTCTGACACACGTACTTTGCATGTAAAGACAATTATTAATTTGATGATAATGCCACCAAAGAAATAAACTCAGAGGGAGCTTATGAGATCAGGATTACTACCCAAAACTAAGGGTTAATAATATAATGACATTTCTTGTTTAGGCAGAGTGCAGCATTTTTGTTAATTTCACATTAATTACTTGTAAAATTTATAATCTATAATGTGTAGACTGGATACACACACTTTTTACTGGCTCATTTTTATATTGTTCCCTACCAGTGGGACCATGCACTTCATCATATTGAGTAATCTTATGCTTTTGCCTTTAATAATATTCAATGTTGTTTGTTTGTTTTTGAATTTCGCGCAAA